GCATTTGCTGGACAGCAACAATGTGTAAAGGTATAGAACTGAGGACATGCTTAATGAGAATCAAACGCCCCATTTGGTTTAGCACCTTGCTATACCAAGTGTTAAGATAGGCATCAAAATGTTGGACAATTTTCTTGCAATCTTCCTTCCTAAGTTTACCTTTTCCAATGGTTGCCCCTAAGTAATTTAGAGGTAATTTTCCCTCTCCCATTTGAAGTGCCCTTTGCATGTTAGCTATGATTTCTGGCTTCACTCTTGGGCCAGTGTAGAAGTGGCTTTTGTTGAGATTGATCATGTGTCCTGATGAATTGAGAAAGCAGTCAATAATCCCTTTGAATCTGATCAGGTTTCTGAAATGGCCATTTAGGAAAAAAATTATGTCATCTGCATATGCAAGGTGGGAGGGTGGTTGGCTTCTCCCTGTTTGGATGGCTTTAAGGTAACCCTCCTCAACCTTCCCCTTAATCATTCTACTTAAACCCTCATTTCCAAGTATGAAGAGAAGGGGGGAGAGAGGGTCACCTTGCTTAACCCCTCTCTTCATTTTGAAAAACCCATGAGGAGATCCATTAATGAGAATGGAGAAATGGGTGGCCTTGAGTGTGGAGAGGAGAAGATGGCAGGACTGTGAGGAAAAGCCAAAGGAGTTTAGAGTAACCTCTAAGAACTGCCAGGAAATTCTGTCGAACGCTTTTGCAAAGTCCACTTTAATAGCAATGTTGGCACTTCCAGACGGGTTGTCAAGGCAGTGGATCATCTCCTGGGTAAGGAGGATGTTTTCTTCCACTCCTTTACCTGGTTGAAACCCACTTTGCTCAGGGCTGATGAGTTTGTGAAGTAGTGCACCCAGTCTATTGGCTAGTATCTTAGTGTTGATTTTTGAGAGGAAAGTGGACAGAGAGATAGGCCTGTAATCTCCCAAAGATTTAGGGTTGTCCATCTTAGGAATCAGAGTGAGAAGAGTGGCCCCGTAGGATTTAGGAATGGGCAGACCCAGGAAGAACTCTTGGGTTGCTCTAGTCACTTCTTCATGGACTATGTGCCAGAAGGTTTTGAAAAAAGTCCCAGTGTATCCATCTGGGCCTGGTGCACTATGGGAGTTGAGGTCCCAGATGGCCCCCCTTATTTCCTCCTCTTGTGGAACAGCACAAAGCATTTGATTATCCCCTTCATTAATGTTCTTAGGAATATATGAGAGCAGTTCTCGGTTAATACTGACTGATTCTTCAGAGTAGATCTTGGTGTAGTAATCAATTGCGTGTGAAGCAATGTTACTGTCCCCCTCGATGTTCAGGCCAAGATCATCCTTGATGGAGGAGATCCTAAGCTTCTGGCGCCTATTTTTAACCACATTATGAAAGAATTTTGTGCTTGCATCCCCCTCTTTTAACCATCTGATGCAAGA